CAGAGGAGACACAAATTCCTTTTTGATTGAATCAGGAAGGACATATATGGCATAAAAAATTAAACATGCAGAGCTACATGCTGTTTGGATCCTTTTATATCCTGTTATAGGATCATTTTATCCTGTTATTGTCTCCAGCTCGAAGCTTTCAGTCATTTAACAAATAAAATAGAATCCTGTCATTTCTTAAATGACCGCGTTATGGTTAGTATCAGGTTTTATGAAGATGGATTAATAAAATCATCATCATCGCTGCCTTGGTTACCTGAGTGGGCTGGTCTCACCGACGCCCTCCCTGCTCTCTGCCATCAGCTCCAGCATGACTTTAAACGAGTTTTTGTCGTTGTAAAAGACGACCACGTCCTCACCGGCGTTTGTTAACTACAAGAAGACATGAAAGGAAAACTTGAACGCATCAGCATGAAAACACGGGTTGATGTTTTAGTAGAAGCAAAGCGGTGCGTCTCATCCTCACCTCGGTCATGATCATGTCCTGACACTTCTTGACGTACTTGCCCTCAGCCTTGATGATGGTGTGGAGGAAGTTGAGGTACTGGACATGGCGGCCGTGCGTTGCCAGGCAGTGGATGAAGTGATGCAGCACGCTCTCGGAGATCTCGCTGCACAGTTGGTAGTTATTACTGAAGATGTGCTGCACTGTCTCCGCCTCCAGGAGCTGCACATGAACAAGGAAAAGTTTAGAAATCAAAAAGGTTTCACTTCAGGTCAGTCACATCAACACTGATGTTTATTTAGAGAAGACTAGTTTTGACTTTTTCATTACAAACCCCCCAACTGCCTCCTGAATGTTGGAAAATGTTGGGAATTTGTTTTCACTATGTCATTATGACCCTGTGACATCATCCAACCACAAAACAGCTTATAGTTTATAATATGGTTTCTAATCATAAACCTCCTGGCGTCACATATGTGGACATCACATTTTGGGTTATTTAGACCAAAATATAAAATTTTGCTCTACAAGGGCCTGATATCCACTTATGAGGACATCATACTGCCACTGTTGTATCAACATTTAAAAAGTGTCCTCGTAGGTGGCTCTCATTTTTCTGAGAAACAAAAATCAGGTAAAAAAAACCCAAAATCTGGTAATTCTTTGTTTTTACATTCATCAGGTCCCAGTCAGCCCAAATAGCAAAGAGAAATTAAAAATGCATGATGTGGAAGAGTTCAGGTGTTGGGAGGTTAATATTCTTTCTCTAGCTGATTAATTTTCATTCAAGTCCCCTTCAGTACACTGAGCATTAGAGTTGTCAGAGAGGTTTCTCTCTACCAGCCACTCAAATCACTTTAAAAAACACAGAGACAACCGACATTTTCTTTAAACGAGTAAAAGTTGATTAGCTAAAGTAAAATAAATGAAAGCTGTTTAAACAGAAGTAACTTGATCAGGTGTTTTATGTAGAAGAAAATCCAACTGTACAAAGATTTCTGATTTTGGCTTATTTAGCTTCACAGAGCTGACAGAAATTAAAGGTAAAGATAATTAAAAGTGATAGAAAACTAAAACTGAAAGGTTTGACTACACTGCATTTACAGAGAATCTGGCAACGAGTGTCTCTAAATGTAGGCTGGGTTTATAAACA